TTTTCAGAATAAAGAGTTAAGATGAAGAAGCTGACAAAGGTGGCCAGAGTGCAAAAAGGTACATTCATGACTTGGGAATGGAGAGAGTAGCTGAAACTATTTGATTACCCCATAGTATCCCACTTCTACAAGTAGCCTTCTGGGCTACATAGCCCCTACCTTAGCTACCCCTGGTAGTTGAAAGTAGTGTTGCATTTGAAACTGTATTGTCTTTCCTGTCTTCTCATGTTCACACAGAAATGCCATCAATGGACTTGACCATGCAAAATTCTGCAAAAACTCAGGATGCTCAGGATCTTTCAGGATTGTGGTAGAATTTACCAAAACACAGTGTAGTGTTACCAGTTGGTATTTGACCTGGATTTAAACAAATAACCCCCTTTACTTTGAAAAAAGAAGTGTGGTGATTTTCTTTCATTGTCTGAATGCGTTCCCATAGGGGATAATGCTACCCTTGCTTTTGGCAAAGGAAATCTTTAGTGCTTGTTCTTTTCTGGCAGGAAAAAGAAAAATTCTTGCTTGTTTGAATAGAGGAAGTGAAGGAAGAGAGGAGGAAAAACATAAATTCATCCTCTGGTTCTTGATACATCCTCTGTTATCACAGGTTAAAATTAGATACACTGTAAAGCAGAACAACTGTGGGAAGCTGTTCGAAATATTGGCAGCATATTGGTGGATTGATAGTAGTTGCTTGCTGTTTCTTAAGATGGATCTGAACAGTGGGAGCAGTATTAATTAGGGATCTGCATATTGTGTTCTTGGTTCAACCTATTTGAATTACAGTTTGGCTAATGAGGCTGCCTAAATCTAATGGAGAGCACAATTTAGTTGTAGTCTTTGTTACTTACAGAGATGGATAAGAAGTAAGATCATCGCAGACTGATGCTTTTGGCACCTTAGTTTTGATAAATGCAGATAGATATCAGGCCCATGAGTTCAGTAGTCTTTAAAACATTCAGATTTTAAAACTTCGGAATATCAATTTGTTTTCTTACTTTAAAATACTTTGAGATCTTTTGCTTTCTGTTTAATGGTTCTATTCGTGTTTTATGAGCTTTCAGAATGTACTCAGTAAATATCTGATTTGCACCATCTGGTAAGAATTGAATTTACCTACTTTGGGCTTTTTTCTGTGATTCCTTTCAAACTATCCCCCAGGATTGTACTAAACAATGAAAGGGTGAGATATGTTACGTAGCAGCAGCTCAATCAGTTGTATTTTTGCTACCTTTAAAGGATGGTACTTCTTGAATGCTGTAACAGCTCTCTAAACCTGCATGTGGTTTTATGGTAGCAAGCGGTTTTTAAACAGTAAGAGTTTGCTGCCCTCAAGTGGTTAAAAAGCTCATAAGCTTATTTCTTCACACTTGGATCAGTTTAATA